CTTCCTCTCTAGCCTGGGATCCTGACCTGACCCTCTGGTGTCCAGTCCTGGTGCTTCTCTTGGCCTGAAGATCTCATGTCCCCTGCCATCTATCCCCACTGACATTTAGAACCATGCAATGCTACCAGCCTTTCAGAAAACACAACCGAGGTCCCGAGACTCCCACTCCCTGAAGCCCCCACACCTGTGTATGGACAAATTCACCTGAACTCCCATCTTGCTTTGGGAGTCCCTAACAAGGAAGCAGGAACTTGTAAGCACTAATCAGGTGACTAGTATCTGTGGGTCCAAGATTCACAGAGTCCAGAGGCCCTGCAAGCCCCTCCTACCTTCCTGTACATCCCACCCCTCTCCTTTCTGCTTTGCGGAGGAGCAGCTCCCTGGGGTGGCCTTCCAGTGATGCACCGGAGCCAGCATGTAACATCAGTTCCCTTAGACACCGCGAAAGGCAGATCCTGTCCTTGGCCTATTTTTGGCACTTAGCTTCCCCTCCTAATTTCACCCCAATCCTCAATCTTAGACATGTTGGACTTAGCCGTACATGGACAAAAGACTTGGGATGCTTCTAGCTCCATCAACCAAACCAGGCCCATCAGGACAGGGAGCAGCTGTTAGCTCACTCTGTTTGGCCAGGAACTGGCTACAGCCACGCTAGCTGAGGACAGGAACCACTCAGAGCTGTGCTGCCTTTGGGGGCCAAGACCCAACTTATACTCCAAGAGGAGTGGAACTCTGTACCTTTGAATGCCCCTCTGTGAAGGTCAATCCCTGCTGGAAGCCAAACCCTCACTCAGCCCCTCAGCCAGCTGTCATGAACACATCCAGAGCTTAGCCTTACTCTTCACTATCCAGGAACTTATGCTATGCCAAAAAATCCTGGCTGTATTTTCATTTATCCTAGAGCTCAAGTAGAACACTCTGCATGGGCTGAAAGAAAAAAGCCCACAGTCTCCCCCACAGAACTTCCTGAGTGTAGACCTGCAGACCAGGCCAGATGCAGCCTGCCACCTCTGTCATAGAAGTTTATTGGAACTCAGCTGCGCCTCTTGGTTTGCGTGTGGCCGATGACCTTTATGCTCTAACAGCAGTGGATTGGTCACAAAGGAAACAAAATATTTACAGTCTGGCTCTTTATAGAAAAAGTTGGCTGATGGTTAATCCAGGCTCCCGACTAAAGTCATTTTGGCTCTGAAAACTGCCTGCCTGCTGATGAGAGGAGCTGAATGAGCTGTTCAGTTATGGACAGCACTGACGACACCTGGGAAAAGCAGAAATCCAACCACAGGAAGCGGATGAGCTATCTGCCTTCAACTGCCCGGCAGGCACCTGCACACCACCCAGCTCCACTCCTGGGCCACGTGTCCCCTGCAGGCCACTCCAGGTTTCACAGAGTGTGACACAACAAGGCAGAGAAGAACAAGATGCACCTGCAAAGGGCACTCACCCAGACTCAGGGGAAAGACTGTTTCTTGTTGTCCATTGAGGACAGAGACTCCCAGTCTCATTCCACTCACCAGCTCAACAAAGATGCCAGGGTACCTCTCGTCTTGCTGCCCCAACCCAAAGCAGCAGTGACTTTTCAAACCCTGTCCTAAATCACCTAACACAAGCCCAAACCCTCTCATGAGCCCACTCTTGGTCTCCTACCTCCAGGTGTCCCATATCCCCCCACAGTGTGCAGTCCATCCCGCTCCAGCAAATAGTAAGCCAGACGTTGCTGACAGGTGTCTTCTGGGTGGTCTTGGACAGTGGGCATCAGCACAGGTGGCAGTGACATCCAGACTGTTACTAGAGGTGCCAGGTTGCCAGCTGTCCCATTCTCTCAACGACTTTCTTGGTTCCAGTTCCTGTGGCCAATTCCAGGACCTGGCGGACCTTCATAAAATTTCTTCCAAATCTGAGCCAGAGCTGCCCTGATGTTTTGGCAGTAAAGCAGTGGCCATTTGGGGCCACATTAGTTCCATATTTGGACCAAGAATGTCACAAAAACAAAGGCCCAGGGTCTGCAGTCCCTGCGGTCCCACAGGTGCTGAGAAGGGAGAAGAGTTTGCCACTGTTTCTCAGATGGCTCCCAGGGAGCATCCAGCCTGGGCCCCTGCTCTGCTGCTCTTTGGTTGTTGCTTAATCCTGAAGAGAGGCACATGAGAGAGAGGAGCATGCCCCCCAGTCTTCATCATCCCGGCCTGGGAGTCACCCAGGGGCCCTGCCACCTGTGCCAAGCTGGGAGAACTGGGGAGTCCCGCACCTGCTCTGCCCTTCAGCTGCCGCTCACAGCAGGGATGCACTGCAGACCCATGTGCTCTGCACTGGCCCTGGCCTGAGCACTCCAGGCTTTAGGGTCTCAATGCTGAGGTGGCCCCTCGGTGGGTTCAGGCTACCAGCCCAAGGGGGTCAGGAGCTGAAGGACACTTCAGCTGAGATGTAGGGCAGGAAGCTAACTCTTCTCTGCTCCCTGAAATGAGCATCAGGGCAAAGGTGAGGGAGCGGGGGAGATGGGGAGGGCTGCAGTTGAAGGCTACCCTGGGTAAAAAGTAAGACCTCATTTAACTAAGCATGAAGGTGTGTGTGTCTGTAATCCCAGCTACATGGGAGGCATAGGTAAGTTTGTGGACTGAGGCCAGCCTGGGCAAAAAATTCAAGACCCTATCTGAAAAAAACTGAAGCAAAAAGGACTGGGGGTATGGATCAAGTGGTAGATCACTTGCTGTGTGCAGCCCTGAGTTTGAACTCCAGTAATGCCAAAACAAACAAACAAACAAACAACAACAAACAAAACAAGAAAGAACAGCTAAGGCCCACAGCACGATGGAAGCCTGGCCAGGTTTGGCCCTTCTCAGGGATCAGGACTCTCCCCTGCTGTTGGAGGCCAGGGCGAGGCTCCTGCTCTGGGGTGACGATACCGACACAGGTAGCCTTGGCCTCCCAATCCCTAGGCCAGGGCTGGGATGAGGGACCCTGCACCTTCCCCAGTCCTATCTATGTAGCTGAGGAGGCAGAGGAAGGCTGAGGGCTACCTCCAGCAAGGCAGGTGCTCTGCTGGTGCCAGGGCAGGCTGTCTACGAGCACATATCCCAGGAGGCTCTGCAGAGGCACCAAAGGGCCACTTCTCCCTCTCCTGCTGCTTGTTTCTTCCAGATTCATGGCACACATGGGGGGCAAGGCAGAAGAGCCCCAAGGGTACATGCAGGAGACAGGGCAGGAGAGCCCCATGGGCAAATGTGGAAGGCAGTATGGGTACAGCCCACAGGCACACACTGGGGGCTGGGGAGGGACATGGGCACATAGGAATGGCAAGGTGGGGACAGCCCCATGGGCACACGTGGCAGGGGGTTTAGCACAGCTCAGATCCCTGCACGGTGCCCCTGCAGGCATCATAGCACCCTGAGCCTTTGAGCCTAGACACAGCTCTTGGAAGCTACCTCCACCTGACCAGAATTAACCTCTCCACCTGAAGCTGTGGTCAACACCGGCCATCTGGGTGCCCCTCCTCAGTCCCCAGCACTGAGCAAGGATGGTCCTGAGTTCGAAGTATGGGCTGCCTGTCTTCCTGGATCACCCAATCTGTCTTGGGACAGAACTGTTGGTTTGCACTCAGCCCCTGCTCAGCTGGCTGTATTCAACAGTCCTCCTGTGGACTTCTCATCCCTTGGAAATAAAAATCCTGGAGGTCAGGGCCATGGAAACTCTCTGCTTTGCTGTGCCTGGGCCAAGCCAGGGCTGGGCTTTGGTGAGAGTGAGAAAGTGTCCAAAGGGACCAAAGAGAGGCCTGGAGGACCAGGGCAGGGGATGGGGCATCCTGAGGAAGCAATGGATGGGGGCGTGGGGCCAGTCACAGGGGCTGGGCCCCTTTCAAAGAGAATCTGGCTGGAATGTTCCAGGGGACACAGAAGGTTACCTGTCTGGGCAGGGGGTAGGCAGGGTGAGAGCGGAAAGTATATAGGCCCAGCCAGGGCCTCAACAGCTGCAGGCACCTGTGTTCTCACACAGGTGTTTATCTGAGATGCTCCCTTATCACTTGTGTGCCTTCCCAGGACACTGAGACCTGTTCCTGCTCAGTACAGGTCAGGGGCTTGGGAGAGTCAGACAAAGTTGGCAGGGCCACTTCAGGGGTTACCTGCAGTGGGGGCTTGGATAACTGAGGATAGCAACACCTCACAGGCAGGGTGGATGTGAGGCCTTGTCCTGGAGCAGGGCAGTGCGCGCCAAGACGCTGGTAAATGCACCCATGGAGGGAGGCTGGGCCAGGCACTGAAGCCTCCAAGGTCACACCATAGGCTGGTCATAGTGGGGACCTGAAGCCAGGTGTGCATTTTCAAGGCTCTCTTGGTTGCTGCAGGCAATGAGTGGGAGGGGGCAGAATAAGCAGGTGGGGGTCAGTTAGGCAGCCAGCACTGGATGGAGTGTGTCGTGGAGTACAGTGAACAGACCCAAGGCCCAGACATCAGGGAAAGAAGTCCACTCCAACATGGCTCCAGTGTTTCCCGCCTGGTTCACAAGGACCATCAAAGCCCTGGAAAGACCTGACTCAGCTGGGGGAGGGCAGGATTGGGTGAGGGGGATGGAACAGAGAGAGGTGTCTAGGGCTGCTGCTCCCCTGCCCCTTCCCTGATGTGCCCGGGCTCCCTGAACTGGCTCCCTGGAACTGCTAGGGTCAGAAGCTTTGGGCCGGATCTCTGTCATGCAGCAAGATCCCAGCAGACCATGACCAGGGTCACTGGCCTTGTGATAGGTGGGTCCACTACAAAATGAGAACTGATGGCCTCCTTCCAACACTGAGAGGTTCAGAACTTCAACAGCAGTACATTAAAGAGAGCATAAGGTGAGTAGGGGGTTTGTCCTGTCCCTCCTGAGTACAGGGTCTCCTGAGCCCGAGACCCTCCTCAGCACAGAGCCCTCCTCAGCATGGAGTCCCGTGCAATGTCATCAGCACGGGCCCAAGAGGGCAACCTACCAGGATGCCCATGGCTGCTGTCCTGCTGCAATCCTGCAGAGAGGCAAGGAGGCTGGTACAATGCCCAAGGTTGTCCTCCAGGAGGGAGGACAGAGTTGGGTTTGAGTCCGGCATGTCAGCAGGCCCTAAGGAAGTTCTGGTCACTTTCACCTGAGTTGGGCTGCCCAGCCCCATACAGGGAGGCAGAGAGGAGAAGCAGAAACCAGCCTGGACACCTAGCCCCTGCCTCTGCTGGCTTGTCTTCTGGCATTTCCCTGAAGGAAGGAGGAAGAGACAGTGCTCCTGGACAGACCTCGGCCTCTTCCCTGACCTCCCCCTACCTCCCCCACCTTGCTCCCCAACCTGAGCGCAGCTGTGCAGTCCCTAAGTGAGGTTGAGCTGGCTCCAACACTGCCTTGACCAAAGAAAACTGAGTTCTGGACCTTAGCTCCTCCCAGGAGGAGCTGCAGACAGCCTCTGTCACACACACATGGCACACATGGGTAGGGAGAGAGGCAGGGTGGAGACCTCAAAGTGGACAGTCCCTAGAGAGCCTTCTGGGACAATGCCCCTCGCTCTCTGAGCCACATGTCCCCTCCCCGCCTCCCCCCACTTGAGCCTAGGTGACACATTGGCCTGATAGGACCGACTCTCAGTGGAGAGCTTTTATTGTAGCCCAATGTGGCCTGGACAAAAAACAGCTGCCAAGGCCCCACCCTATTGTGTCGGGGTGCCCACTTTAATGTGGCCAGTGTTTAGCTCTGTCCCAGCATCCTTGGGGTTGGACTTCTTGGCCTCTGTCCTCTGGTTCTTGCCCCTGTCCCTTCCCAGGGGAGCAGTGTGGCCTCCTTTGCCCAGGGCCTGGGTCCATCCTCCTAGAGAGTGTCCACATCTCAAAGAGAGTTCAGGGTCAATCTTGGGGCTCCTTGTTGACAGGAACCCTGGCCTGTGCATGTGTAGCTCGCCTCCTAGGAGAGGGTCAGGCTCTGGGAGTCCTGGCTTTTGTGGGCCTTGGGCCTGGAGGACATGCCCAGTGCAGATGCATCCTGGAACTCCTTGGCCATGTAATAGTAGCAGATGGCGTCCAGGCAGCAGTTGGCATCTGAGAGCCTGCTAGTGACAGAGAGGGCCTGGCCGAATGTGATGCGGGTGGCACAGGAAGACAAGCCCATGGCGAAATTCACCGTCAGAACCACATGCAGTGGCAGGAAACAGACGACAAACACAACCAGGTTGGCCCAGACCATCTGAGCAGCCTTGCGAGTGGCCTCGGCCTGCCCCACATCGGTGGCTGGCCTCTGGGCCAGAGCGGTCACCACCTGCAGGGAGCAGAAGACCAGCACAGCCAGTGGCGGGTAGAAGCCCAGAAGCGAGACCACAATGCTGCTGGAGTGTTGCCGGGAGCTACTCCTGAAGCATAAGCCACCATCCTGCAGCCCCAGGTGCCAGCGCACCACCAGGGAGCTGACCACCATCACCCAGAGGGCTGCGCACACGGCTGCTGCCTGCCGTGGGGAGCGGAGCCCGCGGGCACGCAGTGGATGCCGGACAGCCATGTAGCGGTCAACAGCAATGGCTGTGACCAGGCTGATACTCATGTACCTGTTGAGCAGGTAGATGCCCTGTGAGAGCTGGCACAACGGTGTGTCTGTGGTGTCACTCAGGGAGTGTAGCATGAAGGGCAGGCAGCAGAGTAGGCAGAGGTCAGCCACGGCCAGGTTGGTCATGTAAACACGGGTCTCGGTCCACTGCTGCATGCGGCAGCAGAATACCCAGAGCGCCAGGCCATTGAGCAGGAGGCCCAGCACCAGCAGTGTGACTGAGTAGGCCAGGAAGACGTTGTTGACTGAGGAGGGCCAGATGGCAGTGACACAAGTGGTGTTCATGGTTCTGGGGCTGTAGGAGGGACAGGAAGTCAACAAAGGCAGGTGATAAAAGGAGCCCCAGGGTAGGACCCTGCCTCTGCCCCAGTGCTGCCCATCTGTGGTCAGGGATTCAGAAGGAAGTGAGCTCCCACCCCAGCCACAACCCCCAAACTTCCCAAAGAGATTATAGAAACTGTAAAAAGCTCAACATCTCCCTCAAGGCCTCACCCACGTGGGATGGATGGGAAGACTGAGGCCTTCAGAGAGGCTGGGAGCACACAGTGGCCATCCCAGAGCCTGAGGCAGATCTCCTTCCTGTCTCCCCAGCCCCCCTCTCCTGGAACCTGCCTGCTGCCAGGCAGAGGGAGGCAAGAGGAGCTCAATGTCCACCTCAGCCTGGCTGAGCAGGTTCCAACCCTCTAGAGCACAGATTCTTGTCTGGGGTCCGATGTCCATTCTCAGCCAGCATGCAGCTCTCAGCTGGGAAACCTCAGAGGCAGCCCCCCTGCAGACCTGAGGATCCCAAGACTGGGCCCCAGGGCAGAGTCTGAGGCAGCCTATTGCCCTTCTGTTCCTCCTGAATCTGGCTGCATGAGGCACCACAGCAAAACAGTCAGCATCCACTCTACCTAGCCCTTTCCTGAGGCAGAAGCTCAGAATAGCAGGGAGTGCGAACCCTGGACTCTCCTGCCTTCCCTGTGAGCACCCCCATGCCTGAGATCTCTGGTCCTGGCTGCATCGGCTGGAGGTTCCATCCCAGGCCCACATCTGGGATCAGGGTGTTCACCCCTTCGGCTCAGGGACACAGCGCTCCCAGCAGTCATAGCTGTGAGGTAGCCCTGATCCTCCAGACTCTGACATGCTGCTCAGAGGTGTTCTCTATCCCACTGTCATTAGCACTTTCAAGGCCACTCTTTACTGTCCATGCAAGCCCCTTTCTCCCCTGCCCACACTCCACAATGTGGCCCAGGAGGGCTGCTCAGCTCACCCAGCCTAGCCCAGGTATACTTGGTCAGGGGTCTGTCCTCTAGAACATGGCCTGTGGCATAGCATTTGAATTCTGGTCTCCCTGACTTGCCACTCTTTGGTTCAGACTCAGTCACTTCATCGTAGGGGATGATGGTGTTGTACAGCATCACCTGGGTTCTAATATAGGAAACACTCCATGCAGCTCCCAGCAGCTCAGAGTCCTGCTTGGAAACTCAGGAGCACTGGAGGCTACTCGAGCTGGGCAGGTCGGGCCCTGGGTCTGCCTCTGCCTTGAAGGAGAGCACCATGCCATCAGCAAACCTACTCCTGCCTGAGTCCCCCCACCGACCGCCCCCTCCTCTTACCCTCCCTAGCTTAAGAGGGGCACAGTGAGCACCTTGGGGAAGTGAGGACACACTCCATTATGTCCACCGCCCCCCACCCCTGACCACAGCTGTGTGGAAAAGCCTCTGTGTCACATTCCTTTCTTTTAACTTTCAGGTGAACCTCAGCATGCTCCAGTATTTTCTGGGAGAAGGCTACGGTTTTTTAAATTTCCCATTTATAATAAGACAAACCCTGAATAATTAGGGAGAAGAGTGTACACTTTCAAGAGTTCAAGGTACACGGGGCTTGGAAGAAACACCCCATTCACCAGATCCTGGCCTGGTTCTCCCAGATGCCTCCCAAGAAAGTCAAATTCCAGGGCCCAGGCACAGCCAGTACTTGTCCTTGCTGGCCCCTGGCCTGGCACAGGGGACTATGTCCAGAACACGGACCCTGCTGCTTTAGAGCTGCAGGGTGGTTACCCACTCCACACCCTCTGCACACAGCCGATGCTCGAGGCACTCATGGCTCAGTCTAGAGAAGCCACCAAGAGCCTCTGTCTTGGGGAAACCATGACTTTGGGTCCTGTGACTTTCCACCCTGGGCAAGCGGGGGCTGACGGGTGGGTAGAGCCAGCAGCATGTGGGCCAGTCCCGTCCTCCTCCCAGGGTGAGGCCAGACTCTGCTTAGGTTATGTATGCACTGATGCTCCAGGAGATAAGTCTTGGGGACACCATACCTTCCTCCCCAGCCCTTGTTGCTAAGTGGGGACCCCAGACCCCTGAGCCCTTGTCTGGCCTAAGACCCCATCCACTGGCTATGATGTGGGAGCAGAGAGTGGGATGAAGACTCTTGTTTCCTGGACACGGTGGATACCCTGGGGCTGCTCCTCTGTTACCCCCTGCCAAAAAAATGTCCCAGGGTCCACAAAAGACTTATCACTGAGACAAGTGTCACAAAACTTGTTGGTCACCTCAAGGGCACCGCACTCAGTTATTTTCTCTTCTAGTTTTAAAGTGCAGGTCTCAGAGGAGGAGGCCGTCAAAGCCTCCTGAGTTACTTGGCACTTTGCCCCAAGTCTCCCAGATGGTGATGCCTTTAACTGGATTCTAAGCACTTCCTCCCAGTCCACCAAAAAGTCAGCCCTGAAGACCAAATCCCCACCACCATCAAGACTCTTTCTGAAAGACCCCAGTCCAGTTCACCAGTTCTGACAGACCCCCCCCCCTCCAACACACACACAGCCCTGGCCCACCCAGAGGCTCCCGGCTACATCATGGCACCCACCTATAGTCAGCAGTGACTTCCCAGACTGAGCAGTCTGCCCTGACAGTTGAAGCCTGACACTGTGCAGGGCTGTCCGGGAAGGGCCTGGTGACCTGCTGCTGGGGAGGGCTATCATCTCAGGCTGTGTGCCCCTCCTTAATGTGGGCAGGCTGGCGGGCTTACTGACGACAGCAGAGTGGTGGTGGTAGGGACTCCCCACCGCCTGCGCCAGCCCCAGCCTGAGAACAGGGTCAGGAATTTCTGAGGGGGAAGTAAGGTGTTGGTCACCATGTCACCTCTGTGGCACCTCAAACCAGCATCTTTTTAAAGACGACATGTGTTCTGGAGAGAGCTTGAGAGCAAGCAGAACCAGCAGGCTTGGCCCCGCCCACAAGGCTTCCTCTTTCCTACCACATTTGTTTCTGCTCATCTTCCGGCCTGACCTTATCCTCTGGCTGGGGTTAGCATGCATACTCATCCAGGCTCATGCAGGCGGTCCTGACAGGCATGTCCCACACTTCCACCTGACAGGGGACCCTGCCAATCTACATGTGTAGGTGGACAGGACACAGACTCAGGCCTGGCCCTGGCAGCCCACAGGGAAATCTAGGCAGGCCACTCCTGCCCCTCTGCCAACTGAAGCCTACCTCCTCAGAAGCCTTTCTGGGTCCCCCTCCCTCCGTGTAGAATGTCCCCTGACTCCTGCAGGCCTTGTGGGGATTCTCTGAAGCAGGTTAGTTCATTTGGGACTCAGGGTGTGAACCTGTCCGTCAAGTCCCGTGCCGTCCTTCCTGCAGATTTCCTCCCGGTCCTGCTCGCGTGAGGGCAGGACCTTGTCTATGGCACTTTTCTCTTCAGAGACTGTGAGGGTCTTGAGAGCATTTCCCAGAAGTAGAAACTGATGTCCAGAGAAGGGCCATGTTGGCCCAGGGTGGTACGGTTGGTGGCAGGTCTGAGATCAGTACCCCCGTCTTCTGACCTTCACACTAGGCTCCTTGCCCAGAGGAAGGTCCTGGCCTGGCCTCAACTTCTGCTGTCACTCCAGATCCGGTCTCTCAGGCCCAGGTCCCAAGGCAGGTACTCAGCCCTTCATTAGCCCTCTTCAGGCCTGGCATGGGTATCTCACCTTGGGCCTCCATGCTCCCTGGGGAGGAAACTTCTCTTCTTGCCTGAGGTCTGGCTTTCATCACCCTGTTTCCCACCCCAACCTCTGGCTGGGATCTGACCCCAGGGTCAGCAGAAGGTGCTGCCCATAGGGGCTTGACCCCACCCACTACCATCACGTTAGACTAGAGCACAGGGCAGAATTTTGCCCCAGTGTTCCTCCACCTTTGCCAGGCAGGTGGCCAGTGAGAGCCACTGCCTTCCCAACCCTCTCTGCAAAAGCCCTCTACTGGGGCCATCCCTCCCCTGTGCTCTTCTTTAGCACTGACCTGGAGGGCACTCTCACCATCCACAGGTGGACTTGGGGGTTCTGGTGGGCTGTGTGGCCTGACTCTCTCCACTCTGGGCTCCCAGCCTGAATGCTCTGCCATGATTCTATCAGGAATACCCATACTCCAAACTCTGTCAAGAACCACATCCTTCACTGTTCCAAGTTTCCCCTAGGTTGTGCTGGGCAATCTACCTTTCCCCAGGTTCCCTCAGGCCAGTGGGTAGTTCTGGCTTCTCAGCTGTCATCCATATCTTCCCCTACACACTCACAAACTACCCTCCACTTCCTTTCTACACTCCACCCCACCTCCATCCGTACCCCAGGTACAGTCAGGGGCCTGCCCTTCCTCCTGGCCTACTCTCTGAGCATCTGAGCTTGGTGGACCAAGGGTGCCAGGCCATCTGATTCCGATGCTGAAGCTCTATCTAGACTGTGGGAACTGAATCATCCCACAGGAGGCTGCTTTAGGCGGCCCGGAGGCTGGTCCAGGACATCTACAGGCTTATGGGATCATGTCCTGCTCCTGGCCACCTGGGTCACTGAGAAAGTTTCTAGATGTTTGGGACTTAGAACTCAAGACCTGGAAAGAGTGCCAAACACCCTCTGGATGCCAGGTGGAGGGCCCGAGAGCTTGGACCTGCAGTCGGGATCATCCCTGCAGTCGGGCTGTCTTGGCTTCCATCAGCCCTGATGCAAAAGGAACTAGTAATAGGAACTAGTAATTGCCTTCCCTTGTCTGAGTGTTGACACTGATCAGGGCGGATTTTCTCACCTTAGCTTCATTAAGCATTGCTTTTCCTTGAGGATGTTGTTTTGGGGCCCCTTAAGTTCTATGCCTGAGGCCAGTTCCTAACTTTCCTACCTTCAAGTGACCCTGTCCTGGAAGAGGAGGCTGGAGGATGGGTCCTCTGTGCCCTGGGCCGAGGCAGTGGGACAGCAGAGGATGTGAACCATCTCCCAGTTCAGTTCTCAGCATAGCCACTTTCTGTTCCCCTCTTTGCAGAGCCAGGTCTGGAAGTGACGCTCTGCTGGGAAACACCCCTCTTCCTCCCTGCCAGGCCCAAAGCTAGCTGAGACCTGTCCCTGCCTCTGGGGTCACTATGCTGACAGGTAGGAGGTGGGGTGTGTAGGGTGGGGATAAACCATGAGGCTGAGGGTAGGACCCACTCTGTGAGCCTTGCCTTGGTAACCGCCTATCTTGCTCCCCTCCTGTTCTTCTTCCAGGTCCTTCTAGAATTAGACTGCAGCTTCATCCAGGCCATGCCACCTCCCCTCACTCTGCAAGTCTATCCCATAGGAGAGCGAGGTGCCACAGATGGACACACACCCTGAGTTCCACCAGAACCCAAGCCCCGCGCCAACTCAGGCCTCCAATTTCTTGACTCCTCACACCGTCCTGCCAAGGGTCTTCTCTTGCCAGGAGTCCCAGGCACTCAGGCTAGGCCTCTTCTGTCCCAGGGAGGAGCAGTAAGAATCCTGCCTGTGCCTCAGCTCCACCCCACTCCTCCTGCCCTGGGCCCGGCCCCTTGGTGGTACCTAGCCTCACTGACCCTTTCCTGACCTCTGCAGTTCAATGTCACTCCCACTCCCCAGCCCCTGGGGAGGGTCCAGGTGAGCCAGCTGGACACTTTTCAAACAGAGGCTCCTTCTCCTGGCTGGTTCTGGTCCCTGCTGATTCCCTCCATTTTGGGCCTCGAGCCTTTATCTCCTCTGAAGGGGATTCCTGCTAAGAGACAGTCAAACCCCAGGCCACAGTTCTACCCTCCAGGCTCAACACCTGGAAGAAGCCACCATCTGGTCCCTGCCTCTGTGGGCCCTGTTGGCTAGCCACACAGTGTGGGTCAGACTTCAGGTGCTTTCCTAGACCTTGTAACCAGTGACCTGTGAAAGGCTTCTGCAAGACCGGGGAACAGATGGAGTGACCTGAGGATGTGCTGGGGATGAGGGGAGGGGCTGAGGAACAGCACCACTTCTTTTGATGACAGCTGTGGCCTGGTTCTTACAAAGCCCTGTCTGTCAGAAACACACACTTGAGTATCTCTGACTGAAGCAGCAGGGGAGGGAGTCTCCTGGTGAGGGTGGGGCTGGAAAGCTCAAAGCAGGTGTGGAAGGGGTGACAGTGTGGGGCTGGGTGACCGGGGCATGGAGGTCTGCTAGACTCCCTGCTTTTGTGTATATTAACAAAGTGGCCACATAGTAGTGGACAAGAGGTGAGGGCAGGGGCTGAACACTGTAAGATCACCATTTTTGTCCTGAGGTCCCCTCAACCTCAGACTTGCCTTGTGACAGACCCTTGATGGTCATATCCCAGAAGGCCCTGTGTACCCAGGGCCTTCCCATGTAAGGGATGATCCCACATGGTCCTCCTGTACAAAGAGGCCTCCCCCTGCCCCCCACCCCCCAGGCATGGCAGTGAGAGGGGACTGGGGACCACGGGAAGTGGTTTGTGTGTGGGGAGAGAGGGAGACTAAGTGGGCATTGGCTGGCTTCTGTCGTCTGCCTCTGAACAAAAGCTGGGAGGGCTGGGAGGCTCTGTGCCACTCACTCTCACATTCACTTGTTTACGTCCACGTCCACAAAGCGGTAGCTGAGGACAGGGGTGGGAGCAGGGAACTGAGAGCAGGCCTGGCTGGGTCTGATTTCACCAATCTTCTGGATGCTTGTCATGTCACGTGAACATGCTTGTGTTTTCCATTTAAATTGACTTAAAATGATCCATTCCACAGGACACCACAGAAGGCAAAATGAAGGATCTCCATTTGGAAATTCCAGGGAGGTCACCAAGGCCAAGCCCCTGCCCATCCTCGAATCAGGCCTCCACTCTGACCTGGGCCCTACACCACCTCCAGGTCACAAGGGCAGGCTGCCCTGTTTCTAGAGCCCAGTGGGCACATTGGTACAGGTAGCCCTGCTGTCTTCTGATCAGGCAGCTGGCCCTCTGCACACTCACAGGCTCCTTGTGACCTAGGGCAGGTCTGCCCAGACCTTCACAGCTCCAGCTCCCCTGCTCCTCATCCAGCTCCCCAAAGTGCCACTAGAAGTCCCTTTGGGACCCTTTTCCCAGCAGTAGGGCCTTTCATACCATCTAAGACCAGAGCCCTAGAGTGGGTGAGGGGCAGTGCCCAGCACTGGCCTGTCCTCCGTCTCGCCCGCACCCTGAACTGATGCACAGACTTGTACCTGCAATGAGCAACCCTGGCCTCTGACCAAGCAAGCTCCATAGTCCTCTCTGGTAGAGCTTTGGCTGAACAAAGCAGGGGTGGCAGGAAGAAGGCAGCACCACAGGATGACCAAAGGACACTGTGGTAGGGACCTAAGAGGTCCTGAGGGGATCCTCAGGGAGTCCTGACAGTCTCCTGAGGGAGTCCTGACAGGATCCTGTGGGGTTCCTAAACAGATCTTGAAGAGGTCCTGACAGGGTCCTGAGGGATTTCAAGAGCACCCAGTGCCCTTCCCAGCCCCACCCATTCCTCTTCTAGAGGAGACACATGGAGTCTGTGCTTCTAGCCAGTGCCCACCTCCAAGAATGAAGCCTGCCTGCTCTGGAGCAGAGCACACTCAGGAATGGCTTCCCTTCTCCTGGGAACCTCCTGCCCACCTGCCCCTTGGTGTCCAGAGTGCCCAGTAGACAGCTTGGGACACGTGGCCACCACAGATATGTGAAGCATCCCCATCCTCTGGGCAGGACCCTGCCCAAGGACCCCAGCAAGGAGTAATGCAAGAGGATTTTCCTGTAGGCTAAGGGCAGGTGCTCTCCCAGACACTGGTCCCCAGCCCCCGTCACCCTGATGGCTCACTCACCCCTGGACAGCTCCTGACCTCTGCTCCAGGTGATTCGCCCAAGGTGCTGACTGGTTTGGCCTCGCTGCTGCCAGACACCCCTGCAAGACCCCTCTGGGTAGTGGGATGGGGCCTTGGGTGCCTCGGGTGCTACCCAGGCCGCAGGTTCCGGAGCCTCTTTCCTTTTTGCTGCCCGAGTTGCTCATCCACCCACTCCGGCCTCCTTCCCCTTTCCTGCCAAGGCTTTCTCTGACTGGAAGGCTGGGTGCTGGCCCCATGCCAACCCTAATCCTAAAGACACTGCTTTCCCCCACAGCCCTCCAACCACCAGCTGCCCTGCCCTCCCTGGTCACAGGGGCCCTTCCCAGCAGGGAGAACCCTCCTTTATCGCCTTATCTCCAGTCCCTGTAGCCACTCCCCTGCTCCTGAACCTAAAGCTGCCGCCCACAGCCTCGAAGATCATGCTCTATGGCAGAGCCCCCTCTTCAGGCTGAAGGAGTCCAGTGGGAGGACAGTGGCAGCCCGCGACAGCTGTGTGTGTGAGATCTCAGCCCTGCTCCAAGTGGGATGGTAACCGCCAGAGCTGAGAAGGCGGGAGAAGGGGCCAGTCTTGCTGTGAAGGACTCCCCACCTCCCCCACCAGGACAGCAGCCTCCAGCTTGGCTGGATTGAGCTGTTTGTCTAGGGTGGGCTGGGGAGTGGCATGCCTAACCAGTGCTCAAGACACGCTGAGACAGGTGGCCCTGTGAGAGACACCGTGCGGAGAGTTCTCATGTCACCACTTCCTTCCACACAGGACCACCAGACCTCTGAGACACTGCTGTTAAGACTGCGTGAGACGCCAGCTGATAGCTGTGGAAACTGACATTTCACAGAAGCGATGTGCAGGGAGCATTAAAGATATGGAAAGATACCCAGGGCAATCAAGGAAAGAGAAGCACGAATTACAAGTGCTCTGCACCGCATCTGCTATTCAGATGGGTCCAAGAGTCTGACAGCAACCTCAGAGCAAAGACATCCTCCCACAGGACTTGCTGATACCTAAGGTGGTATGAACCCCACGGCGGGATTTGGAAATGTCTGGAAAAATTAGAGATGCATTTACTCTTTGACCAGTAAATCTGCAACCTATCACAGACAGATAGGAAGAACGGCATGCACTCAGACGCATGCACTGCAGGGCTGTGGGGTGGAGACAGCCCACAAGTGCCTCAGAGGTCCCTTCACAGGACCTTGGCTGGAGGCCCTATGTTGCGTAACTGTAAGGACAAAGGAGAATATTTCTTTCTTTCTTTCTTTCTTGGTGGTACTGGAGTTTGAACTCAGGGCCTCAAGTTTGCTAGGCAGGTGCTCTACTGCTTGAGCCACTCTGCCAAGCCCTTTTTGGTGTTGGATAGTCTTGAGATAGGATCTCCGAACTCTTTCCCCTGGGCTGGCTTTGAACTACCTCCTGCGTGAGCCACCAGCATCCAGCAAAGGAGGAGATTTTTTTTTATTTGCTATTCACTGTAATCTCAGGACATATTCCTGAGTGAAAATAAGCATATTCATGTGTATATAGACGTTACATATTTTTAGTTGTATTCTTCATGCATTTATTTTTGAGACAGGGTCCATGCAGCCTAGGCTGGCCATGAATGCTTGGTCCTCCGGCCTCAACCTCCTGAGTGCGGGATTACAGGTGGGTATATGTACCAGCATACGCAGCTAATTTATTTATTAAAAATTTAATAAATGTAAATCTTAATGAACTTATTTAAAATTGAGAAGCTTGTGTTTTTATAAATGGGAAGATAAACTGTAGTTTTGTTTCAGATTCAATTATCAGCCTCAGGAGAAAGGCATCTATGGGGTGCAGGGGTAGGAAGCTAGACTTTGGCACATACGCCTTGCTTTAGATCCCTGTAATTATTTGTGTAATTACCAAATTAAACTTTAAGAAGAAGTCCTAACACTGAAAGCAAAAAGAAGCTAATTGACTTGTGTTATTAGTTGATAATAGAGTTCTTCCAAACTCTTCCAAGTAATTAAAAACCCAGTTACCAGGCTGTCTACTTACCTTATCCTGACTATCAAAAGAATGGAGGAAAATGTTTTGAATTATTTTTAATAATCATTCTCCAAATAACTTAAAATGATGTTTTATCTGTACATCTATCTAACCCAAGGACTTAAAAATACATTTAACAGATCTCAAGCTATTCTCAGTAACTGTGCCTTTGATGGTTGTGTTGTCACCGTTATTTTTATATTGTGTGTGTCAGGATGAAACAGGTGAACAATTCTGTTGTGTACTATTGGGTTTTGAGGTGGAATAATTAATAAGTTTAAGAAAAACTATGTCGACTTGAATTTGAATGGAAAGCGTCAGTTTGTACTCATCTTTTTAAAAAAGTATGTCTTGCTTATGCCCACTGAGAAAGCCGAAACACGGTGGCTAATCCAGTAGCAACAAGCACTACCAGTGGCCAGACCATGGTCTCTAAATGCCACATCTCTGTTTTGTTTTGGTTTGGGTTATTTATTTATTTTGGTGGTACTGGGGAAAAGATCTCAGGGCCACACGCTTGCAAGGCAGGTGCTTTACCATTTGAGCCCTTTTTGTGTTAGTTATTTTTGACATAGGGACTTGGACCACTATCCTCTTATTTGTGCTTCTCTGCATAGGTGGGGATGACAGGCGCATACCACCACACCCTGTTATTGGAGTCATCAGTTAAGATGGGGTCTTTTGAACTTTTTGCTCAGCCTGACCTCAAACAGCAATCTTCCTGATCTCCTCCTCCCAATAGTCAGGATTACAGGTGTGAGCCACCATGCCCAGCCTAAATATCACATCTCTTGCTAAGGAAGAGGGGATTCTTAGAGAGGTGGATGCTGGCAGGGCAGATCTGGGCTAGGAAGTGTGTGAGATGAGCCTGGAATGTCTTTCCACACTAAAGAACAAAGTGGCCATCAAAGACCACAGGGCAGTGTCAAGGGACTCAGCCATTAAATCAAATAGGCTACCCTGTACATGCTTTGCACATAAAAGATGTTCAAATCCATGAATTTTTAATTAGGCTTTAAAAATTCATTATTTGTTTTTGGAAGATGCTAAGAAACAGCTCATTATGTTGATAATAAGTAAATAAAAGGAAAGAACCAAGACTGCATCCTGCCTTTCTACACACACTATATCTCAATGTGACCAAACAGTTGGTGAAACCTCTCTTTATGGAGTTATTCCATAAAGATAGAAAATTAGCATTAGCTGTACTAGTTGCCTTGTATGTGACGTGGTCACACACACACCTACCCCTAAAGCAAGCTCTTCAAACTACAAAGTGATGTTAGCTTCCTGTCTCTGCGGGTCAGGCTGAGGCTCAGCTGAGCTGGGGCCACTGCTCAGGGTCTCAGCTCTGCAGTGCAGGTGTTAACCAAAGCTGCACTTTCATCCAAAGGCCCGATGGAAGGGGACCCACTGCAAGCTCATGGTGAGGCGGTTGGCATGATTGCTTTCCTAGTGGGCTGCTGGACTTGTTACCTGGGGAAAAAGCCTTTTAAAAAAAACAACCCTATCTTTTCTTAGGTGGCTCCAACTAAAGTCACCTACAGATTAAGAACTGTTCTCCAATGTATGTTATCTGCCTCTCCTTCAGTCCTCTGGAGAAAAGTCACCTTTCTCTACCTTCCCCTGTTCTCTGGGACAAAGACTCCTGTGTATCCTAGTTACTAACCATAGAATTAACTATTCCTGGAAAAGAAACTTAAAGATGAAATCAGAGCTTTCTAATCAGTGACTCTTTTTAGACTTACAGAACCCAGAATGCCCTGTGATGTACAGATAGCAGCAACAGCTTGTGCCTCAGAAACACTGATCACCAGACCTGCTTGACCTCCCGACCTCCCACGCCCAAACTCCCTCCCCACAGCTCCCTACACAAGCCTGCACCTGCAGCCAGAGGGAAGGTGGTCTTTTTGGTGGCAGCCTTTATCTTCTTTGGTTTGCTGGCTTTCCAAATCAATCTTTTTTCCTCATCCAACAACTGGTCCTCAAGTCATCGTCTTTCTCAAGTGGTGAGCCATGAGTTTGCAGTTATAGACCAAAAGCTTAGAGTGTACCCTGGCTCTTGTCTAGAGGCCGCCTTCAGCTCCTGACCACCTGTGCCCTTCACAGGGCAGCTCACAGCATGGCAGCTGGTTCCCCTCTGAGCTAGTGAGCATGAGAAAGTGTACCCCCAACAGATGCCATGGTCTCATCAACCTGTCTCAGAAGTGACAGTGCTTCCTGTCTTTTGCCAAATTCTATGTGTTATAAGCGAGCCCGTAAGTCCAGCCCACCCTTGAGGTAAGGACATGAGTACTAAGAGGCAGGGACCACTGGGCATTCTTAGAAGCTGTCGTCCACATAATGGTCATCAGTGGCTGGTGGCATCACAAAAAGAGATGACCAGTGCCTCCTGGTGGAAATGAGGCAGCCCCACTCATACCGTGGTCTTGCCAAGAAATGAAAGTAGTGACTGAATTTGCTCAGGCACCCACAGCTGCCTGCCGATTGATGGGAGACTGGTGGGCACAGGCCACTAACACTCCACAGACCTACACACATACACGTATAGAAACAGACACACACACAAACACACACATGTATAAACACATGTACACATATGTACACACATGTAAGCACATATAAACGAGTACACAAATGGATACAAGTATATACACGTACACAAACACATGCACACGTGTAGGTGTATACACAGAGGCATACACTTACATACACAGATAAACACGCATGTACACATCCATTCGCGTATACATGTATTCATATAAGCACATGTGTATACAGATCACACACATGTGCTTGTACAAACACACACACAGAGGCACACACATGTGTACACACACTCCTGCCAAGCTACACCCATGGGAGGGGCTGTTGGCTGGAGAGGCAGCCCCTGCTTCACCTTCCCCAAACCTGTCCATTCCCCAGGGTGGTTCTCAGCAGCCCTGCTCCCACCAGCACCATCTACCTACCCTCTACCCACTCGTTCTTTTCCTTCACTTCCATTTGCACAACACTCCCCCCATACTGGCAGGCCCTGGGTTGCATGTGCCTCCTCCTCCTCCTCCTCCTTCTCTTCCTCTGAGGTCAGCAATAGTCTATGAGGTTCACCTCAGGATTCGGGCTGGAGTTCCCGGAAGTTGATAAGGGTGAGGCAGATAGGTCAGATTGTGTGGCTGTGCAGATCCATGGCTGTCTAGCATCCTGGGGAGAGGTCTTATAAGTGCCCCTAGGAGTGGCAGGGATGGGAAATCCCATCCTGTGCACACAGAAGCCATGTGAACGCAGC